TAATTTTTAATTCAATAAATTATTTAAAATGAAAGAAGTTAAAGATTATTTAATTCAATAAATTATTTACTCTTGGGAACGTGAAGGGTTAGCTTAATCTATATCTATGTCTACACTATTTATCATCTATACTATATTATTAAACATTTGATAAAAATTCTTAAAAATCATTTTTTATGCATAAAGTACTGTTTATTGATGCATATTACTTAAAATTTAAGATTACAAGTAATTTTACGTAAGCGCAACTTATTAAAGTTCCAGTTTTAAATTCGTGTAACTAACTGCAAATAAGCATAATCAAATACATGATAAACATTCATTTTAAATATAGAAAATCTAAAATATAATTAAGATAATAGTTGAGTTCTAACATAATGTTGATTATTATCTTTATAAAATTTTATATTATTAAACCAAAAATAAATTATGGTGTTTTTAAATCTAAATTAAAATGTTAAAAAATTGAATTAAAGACGTTGCACCAAAAAACGAGAGTTGTTAAATAGTTAATTTGATATTAATATCGATTTATTTTTTTCAAATTTATATTTCGTTCAAAAATAAAAATATTATCAATTTCTCAAAACCACATAAAATCGTATTAAATTGATAGAGAAAAAGAATAAAAACTAAACATTAAAATAAAGATTTATCTCGATGCATTGCGTGAATACCTTTCTAGTATTAATATAAATAATTCTATATGAAATATAATGTATTTAAAAAATACGCTTTTTTTATAAATTATACAATCATAATTGTCTCGTTAATACCTTCAAATTGAGCGTCAATACCTTCAAGTCGAGCTCAATATTGAATATTTTTATATTTAATAATACTAATAAATATAATGAATACCTACGAATTAATTTGTTTTATATTCATACATTTTCATTTTACACATTATATTAAAAAGGTATAATCATATATTAATTAAAATACATTAAAAAAATATGTTTTCTTTATATATCACACATCTTGTAATTGGTTATACATCTTGAATTTTCAAGAGGTACAACTAATTAAAAATATTGTACAAGCTCTTAAAGCTTACAACTACCCATGATCTTTCGCCGGATCATTTTCAATTTCAAAATTACATTTTATATACCTTTATAATTAGCGATTTGATTATATTTTATATCTCTTACTTTTGATCTTTGAGTGCCTCTACCAATCCAACGATTCCGGCCACCATCCATGCTTTGCTTGTTGAACTCATGCTATTTCAAGATTTTTTTTTTTTTTTTAATTAAAAGTAAGTTGCAGATGATCGACGAAGAAGCAGAAGGGTGGAATGGGGTATAAATAGATGTCAAGTAAAAGACCCCCAAGTTTTTATGATATCCCCTCAACTCCCGCCGCCGCAGGTGGTGACGCCCTAAAAACAAGAAACCGGCAATTACGGCGAGTTTTATGGAGATTCGATGGTCTTTTGTTGTTGGATGCTTGCGATTACGTCGAGTTTTCTGGAGTTCCGGCGAGTCCCCATGTGGGTAATTTGGCCTGTTCTGTTGACCAGAAGCCGGAAGTTCACTCCGGCAAGAAACCGGCAGTGGCTGTGAAGGAACGGAGAGGTTGTTACAAGAGAAGGTATGTACAAAGACATGACGTTACGGAACACGGCCGAGCCAGAGGCAGGGCAATCGTTGGCACTTTTCTCCGTCTCCGACCAATCAGTCTTCTACCACTGCAATTAGGGCTGTAAACGAACCGAACGAACACGAACGGAGGATTGTTCATGTTCGTTCATCTAACTTAACCGAACAAACACGAATGGTAAACGAACGAAAATCTTTGTGTTCGTGTTCGTTTGTTTAGAAATAAGGTGTGTTCGTGTTCGTTTATGTTCGTTCGTTAACATGCTAAACGAACGTAAACGAACGAACATAAACGAACAGGCTAAACGAACATAAACGAACAAATTAAACGAACATAAATAAATATTATTTGAATTCAAAGTAAATAAATAAAAAATTATATATTAAATTTAATATATAAACGAACGTAAACGAACGGTAAATGAACAAACGTTCACGAACATAAATGAACGAACGAGACTCTTGTTCATGTTCGTTCGTTTAACTAAATGAACAAAAAAATGTGTTCATGTTCGTTCATTTATTAAATAAACGAACATAAACGAACTTCCCGCCGAACGGTTCACGAACGGTTCGCTGAACATTCGGTTCGTTTACAGCCCTAACTGCAATGCAACCGTTGGCACTCTTCAGTCTTCTTCGTGTCCGGATATTCATTGCAAGGCTGTAAAAATAACTGCGGGTGATCATAGTGTATCCGGTAGTCTTATTTTATGAAATGTATCACAATATGAAATTTCATTATTTTCCTTGTTTTATCACAGTGTATCACAATGGATTTGCTTTTGTTTTTATGGTTTGAGTTGGTATCACAATGGTATCATAGTATATCACAATGGGTATCACATTATATCACAAAGGGTATCACATTGTGTATCTTTGTGATTACTTGGTACCTGTCGGAATAATGTTGGCCGGAGGCCGGAGTTTGGAGGTCAGAGAGAGGAGTTTTTAAAAAATACCTAAAATGCCCTCTAATTATAATTTTAACTCAAACTACCATAATTACTAATTTTCTTATTTATCCATTGATTTGTGGTTGAGATTGAATCTCACAGTTACCACAAACTAATCAATTATCTCTTAAATGGACCCCTATATATATAAGTTTTATAATTAAAAAGACAGGAATATATAATTGATGGTTAAAACAAACAACGTCCGTGGGTCCCGAGAATCATACTTGGGAGCATCGTATATCAAATAAAAATGTATTTTACACGTTGGAAAAAAGCCATACATACAGAAAATATGCAAGAGATAATTAAAAAAAAAATCAAATAATTTATTAAAATTCAAAATCATTAAATTAAGAGGGTGTTTGAGATTGCTTATAAAAACAACTTATTGACTTATTTTGGCGTGGTATCGGTAATAAACACTTTTGAATGTTTAAATAAACAACTTATACCGATGTCAAACCAGTAATAAGAAATTTTTGAAAAAGTTAAACTCTACTGACTTATAATAAGTTGATAAGTCCTTTTGAAGAAATGCATAAGTTATTTCAAATAAGCAATCCCAAACACCCCCTAAGATGATTTAACGGATATCGTTAAAATTTAAAAAAAATATCCCCTTTTTTTAATATAAAATAATTTAAATATAATCAAAATTGGAATGGAACAAATTTACTTTAAAAAATAGTGATTTTATTATCTTTAATTTAATATTTATATTAATATATTTTCATCTTCTTTTTATAGTTATTTTGGATTTTTAGGTTGTCACCCGATCTCATACAATTGGATTCCCGTAACATCCTCCAATTTCATGATATTAATTTGAAGGTTTTGAGTGTACTTTTTGTGACGATTTGACATATTTTTTTATGTGACTATTCGATATATTTTTATCAAAATTTAGTTTTTTGATATATATATATATATATATATATATATATATATAAATCAAATGCAACATTTTTAAATGTTGCAACCCAATAAAATTTAATCCTAACCGTAGATCATTCTTCTTTTAAGAAGTATTTTCGTTTTTAAAAAATGCAACAATCTTATCTCTAACTGTTGATTGTTTAATTTAGTGGTGTACAAAAATTTGTATTGGTTGCAATATTCAAAATGGAATACTCCAAAAAATCCAACCAACTTTCTCATTTTGACTGATTTAGTTCATAAACTTACATTTTTGAAAAAAACCAGTAAATTTTCTCATTTTGAATGATTTAATTTATAATTTTTTTTCTTGGATGAAAAACCATTAAACTTTTATAAGTCGTTTACATGTAACTTTTTTAGGTTAAAATAATATAAGTGATCGATTTTAAAAGTTAAATGGTTTATTAATTAAAAAAATATCCAGGGACCAAATCATTCAAAATGAAAAAATTTAATGATTTTTTCATTAGAAAAAATTTATTAAGAAAAAAAATGTTCACGAACAAAAACATGGATAGAGATAAGTAATTGGAGACGGAAATAAAGGTCTCCACCCAATTCTCATGTCTAACCATAATAATAATATCTTTTATATATTCACATGTGAATAAATACATAAAGTGGCCATTTTTATGCATATTATTACATCAATAATTTGCCAATCAATTATTCAAAGTTTGACATGAAAATGCTATACATCCAATGTGTTGATAAAGAGCACATCCCGAGGCATACATATACAATTAAATTACACTATCAGTCCTTATACTTTTGATATAATGCATGATAAGCCCCTGAATGTCCAGCCATAAAAAAGATTCGTGGATGCTAAAAAGGAGAAGCCACCGGACCATACACAAAGGTTTCCAAAAGATTTATTCCTCTTTCACTCACTCGGGCGGCCAGAAAAAAGCTAAATTCGCCATGCCTTCCGACGAACACCAGCGATTACTCGGTTCCGACGATGCAGAAACCGCCTACGACCCGACGGAGAAAGTCCACATCGTCGGAGTAGATGACAACGACGATGACTACAGCACAGTAACGCCGCCGTTCTCGTGGCGGAAGCTATGGCTATTCACCGGACCCGGGTTCTTAATGAGCATAGCGTTCTTGGATCCGGGTAATCTGGAGGGGGATCTTCAGGCGGGTGCGATTGCGGGCTATTCGTTGTTATGGCTGCTTTTGTGGGCTACTGCTATTGGTCTGCTTGTTCAGCTTCTCTCAGCTCGGCTCGGTGTAGCCACTGGGAGACACTTGGCTGAGCTGTGTAGGGAGGAGTATCCGAATTGGGCGGGGAAGTTGTTGTGGATCATGGCTGAGCTGGCGCTGATTGGAGCCGATATTCAAGAAGTCATTGGAAGTGCCATTGCTCTCAAGATTTTGACAAATGGGTTTTTACCCCTTTGGGCTGGTGTTCTTATCACTGCTTTTGATTGGTACAAAATTACCCTTTTCCTTTAATTTGTTCATATCGTATTAATCGACATTTAATACTAAATTAACTTCATTTTGAGGATATATCATCTCGGAATTTGGGTGTCTGTTCATCTGGTTTAACTTCAATTTGAATCACGAATCCTCTAATTTGTTGCAGATTAAATTACAATCTATTGATTTGGGGAAATGGGTTTTGAACTTTTTGAATACGAAAATTGCAAGAACAAATTAGAGTGAATTTGCAGAAACATTCATGGAGAAATACCAGAATTGAGGTCAAAAATAACAAATTTAGGGTTTTGTTTGGTGGCAAATCTAACATTCTTCAAGATTTGATTTGGGCATTCCTAAAAGATCTAATTTGCTTTTGGGGTTTCTTCAGATTATGTGTTTTTGTGCCTCTGTTTTCTGTTGAATTCGTAGTTTTTATGGATTTCGTTTCGTTCGATCTCGATTGCAGTTTCATCTTCCTGTTTCTTGAAAACTATGGTGTAAGGAAGTTAGAGGCCCTTTTTGCTGTTCTTATAGCAGTAATGGCGATTTCATTCGCATGGATGTTTGGTGAAACGAAGCCCAATGCTAAAGAGCTTCTTGTTGGTACTAGATTTCTTTCGATATCGCTCTTTCGCATTCTTTCCATCATCGATTCCCCAAAAAAAACCTTAACTTTTTCGTTATCTTTGAAGGTCTCGTGGTTCCAAAGCTCAATTCGAAAACAATACAACAAGCAGTGGGAGTTGTTGGCTGCATTATAATGCCTCATAATGTGTTCTTACATTCGGCACTTGTGCAGTCAAGAGACGTTGATCCGAGAAAAACTGGCCGAGTCCGTGAAGCCCTCAGATACTATTCGATCGAGTCCGGTATAGCGCTAGCTATCTCGTTTATCATCAATCTTTTTGTAACGACTGTGTTTGCAAAGGCGTTTTTTGGTACTGCAATTGCTGATACAATTGGGCTCGGAAATGCGGGTCAGTTTCTTGAAGAAAGATTCGGTGGCGGGTTGGTCCCGATTTTGTATATTTGGGCCGTTGGGTTGCTAGCGGCCGGGCAGAGTAGTACCATCACGGGAACTTATGCCGGGCAGTTTATTATGGGCGGTTTTCTTGATCTGAGATTGAAGAAATGGGCTCGGGCCTTGATTACGAGAAGTTGTGCCATCATTCCCACGTTGGTCGTTGCATTGATTTTCGACAGTTCCGAGGATACTATGGATGTTCTGAACGAATGGCTTAATGTGCTTCAGGCGGTTCAGATCCCGTTCGCTCTCATTCCGTTGCTGTGTTTGGTGGCAAAAGAGGACCTCATGGGCGTTTTCGCGATTGGGCCTGTTCTAAAGGTATGATTTATGAATTCGAGCTTCGTATATTCTTAACATTTGATGCTGATAACATAACTTTTCAGTCGGCCATGTTTGATAACCATAAAATAACTTTGTTTTTTGAGCTTACTGAAACGCTTTCAATAAATCCCAGGGAACTTTTTGTTAATTTTTTCCAATTATACCCCTTGTATATTTCCATTTAAGTTTAAATTTGTCTTTTTAGGTCATTTTACATGGTTATCTAGCTTATTAATTAGTTTTTACCAAACATGACTAGTTTATCACTTTATCTGCCAGCATAACAACCAACAGCTAGCGTACCAACTAGTATGCCAAACACAGCCTGTAAGATAGAGTATATTACATTTTTTGTCCCTGTGGTTTGTTAAAAATTGCGATTTTCATCCCTATGGTTTGTAATTTATTGTTATCTTCGTTCTTATGATTTACAGTTTATTGTTGTTTCAATCCTTGTGGTTTTCATCTCTTTACTGTTTTGCTCCCTCGTACTTAAAGGTAAGAATTAGTCTAGGGACGAAAACAACAATAAATTGTAAATTGTAGGGACGAAAATAACAATAAATTCCAAATTATAGGGACGAAAATTGAAACTTCTAAACCACAGGAACGGAAATCTTAATTTTACTCATTAAGATATGATCCCAAAATGTGCCGTTTACTCATGTGGTCTTGCTAAGGATGCACAAGGCTCGGGTCGGGTTTTGGGTGTGCAAATGGGCCTGATCGGGTTCTTTTGGTCTGGGCTTTTCAGGATATTAAAGCTTTTTTAAGTCGGGCTTTAATCGGGTCTTGAAAAAAATACTCGAGTTGATCGGGCTTTTTGGCTTGGCCTGGGTCCAAGGATACTAGAACCGGAACTTTTTCCAGCCGGAGCTTTTTTGTGCATCTCTAGGTCTAACAAACATTAATGTATGCTTCACTTAGTTTCATAAATTCTTAACGTCAACGTTAATATCGTTTTTCTTGCCACGGCTTGCAGACAATCTCATGGCTCGTGGCGGCTTTGGTGATAGCGATAAACGGCTACTTATTACAACAGTTTTTCGCTGAAGAAGTAAGCGGGACCACCTTTACGTCCATAGTAGTTGCCTTCACGGTTGCATATGTTGCATTCATCGTGTATCTTATCTGGCGGAGCATTACTGTTTCCACGTTCGGTTTGTTTAAGTCGAGAAGCCAAGCAACATAGTGAGGAACATTAAAAAAAATTCAATAACGAGAAACCTTTGTTAACATGATTATAATTCTAGGAACCGATCATCGAGATGATGTGGTTCGACAGTAGCAAGATGTTGTAGACGACCGTTTCTTGTACATGGGAGATGGAAAAAACTGAGGGTGGTTGTATTGTAGCACAAACATCGTGATTATGCTTTTAAGTAATCATAAGAAATCGGTTGATTGTAGCATCAATACGATTATTTTATCATCGATTTGTAGTTTTATCGTCACTTATATACATTTAATCACAAATTTTATAACTGTGTGTAATTTATATTGCTGGCGTAACATTGAGGGAATCATAATCCTTAGAATTAGGGGTGACAATAGATCAGGTTGGATTGGGTTTGGGTTTGGATTCAACCCATTTATTAATCAGGTTGGGTTTGGGTTCGAATTCAACCCATTTATTAAACAGGTTGAAAATATCAACCCAAGTACCCAACCCATTTAATTAAATGGGTTGAGATTTTTCAATCTAACTCAACCCAACTTGTTACCTAAATGGGTTGACAACGGGTTGACTTGTTTACGATTTTCTTAACTCACCCTGTTAAATAAATGGGTTAAACCTTGGTTGACTCATTTAATTTTAAATTTTTAAATAAAAAAAGATTAGACTAATTATTATTTTTTGAATAAAACACAACACAACCACAACCACAACAAATATATTATTCAAAATAAATTTGGAAAATAATTTGGACTTTCATCTCACGACGGTAAGATTTTTAATTAATAATAAAACAAAACTAAAAATTAGAATATTGGATATAATATTAAAAATAAAATAATATAATATTTTAAATGGGTTGGAAACAGATTGTAAACCGATTGAAAAAAGGTTGTAAATGAGTTGAAAATAGGTCAAAAGATTCAACCCAACCCAACCCATTTATTTAAACAGATTAGGTAGGTTGACCCATTTATTTAAATGGATCGAAAATCTCAACCCAACTTGCTAATTTTGGGTTGTGTCGGGTCGGGTTTAGCGAATTGAGTCATTTTTTGCCACCCCTACTTAGAATCACATGTAATCAATGTTATATATGATAAAGTTTCATAATTTAACCAAATCAAACTATACAAACAAGTAAGTCTTACTCGAAAGTAAGGTTTTGGAGGGGTATGCATGCAAATCTTACCTCAACCATTAGAATCACAAGACTGTTTCCGTTAAGAACCCCTTGGGACTTGTGCACGACGCAAGATGTATTCAAACAACCAATAAGATAGGTCATATAATAGGCAAAACAACCGTGCGTGCATGATTTAATCTAACAAACAATATAATAAGGTAAGACATGCATTACATGTAGAACTAATGTATATAACAAATTAACACTGTACGCTCGGTAAGAAAGTCCTGCCCAAAATCCTTGGCAACATCCTATTACCAGATCCTACTAAGAACCAACCACGCTAATCTCGTATATTAATACTATATACTTAAAGAACTCTTATCAGATGTCATGTTTTTATAAACGTTTAAAATTGTCAAGTCAATTAAACTACAAATAATTTTTTAATAATTAAACACTTTAATTATTCAGTCTCTTATTTGATTACACTATGACTATGACCCATTATTAGTAAAGCGCTAACGCACACCCTACAATCAAACTTAAGTTTCGCCTTGATTATACGACAACATTACTAATAAAAAGGGACATGAGACTTTATCATGCTGACAGTAACTCTGAATAATATTATAACTATAAAATAACGATATCTAACAATATATAATCGAGTTAATTTTAGGGTCGCAACTTCCTACACAGTCTGTGCCAGTAGTGATATCCTGATTCGGCTACCTCTCCCACTTATCAAGGCAGAACATTTTAGATTGACAACTAGGCAGAGATGGGTATTCAACCAGAAACCTGGGTTTAGAGCTTTTCCCGTTAACGAAATTCGAATGGGAGTAGAAAAGGCTTACCCAAATGATAAAATTTAGTGATTCAGTCAATCAACAAATTCGTGATCGTAATTAGTGTGCACGTTATGTCCTCTTGTTCTTGATGTCAAGTCTTGAAGTGAGATACAAGTGTCTCATACCCGATATGTCAAATCTCTAATTTCTTGATTTTTGAATGTATTGATAAAGCATATACCGATAATGCTCCTCATTTGACGGAGTTTTTTAGCAGTCGTTAAGAGAGGGATCAAAACCCGACATTTTTGTAAATCTTGATGGTCATCTTGTAATTTAAAAACTGTAAAAACAACAAGTCACAAGTGTTATTTCCCACAAACTTAAGGAACCAAATTTGTAGTTTACTTTTCTATTTATTTCATAGTGGAACGTTTAAAAACTTTCAAAGAACTTTGTCAATTGTCATTTTGAATGACTAATCCTTGTTTTCTTCACCAATAAACCATTGAACTTTCTCATTTTAAATGATAAGTGCATAAATATTTTTTTCAATAAATAAACTATTGAATTTTTAGAAATTGATTATTTACAGTTTTAACCCAAAAAGATATTTATAACTGGCTAGAAAGGGTTTAAGGCACCAAAAAACTTAAATCAGTTTTACCATTGCCAAATCATACGTCATTCAAACCCCTGACACTTAACGCCATCGCTCCCCTCGCCGCCCCATCCTCATCCGCTTTCTATCTTTGCATAACCCATCACCATCGTTAGCCCCTGCCGTCGATCTCCTTCTTTTTTATTGTCTTTTTTGATCCTCTCTCTTTTTGATCCATCTATACGTACTCCATTAATTTGTTGTAAAAGATAGATAATTGAAAGATAAAAAAACATATCAGGGGGGGTGGGGATCGATAGTAGGGGCCAATAGCGACGATGAGCGGTATGGAGAACAAACTACCATGGGCTGCGAGAGGTGGTGAGGGTGATAATGGCATTGGATGCAATGGTTTGAATGTCGTAAGATTTAGTAACGATAAAATTAATTTAGGTTTTTTTTTTATTTTAAAATCTTTTTAGTCAACTACAAGCTATTTTTTGGGTTAAAAATATGTAGGTAACCAAATTTTGAATGTTCGATGGTTTATTTATTTAAAAAATTGTTCAAGAATTTAATCATTCAAAATGAGAAAGTTTAATTGTTTATTTATTAAGAAAGTAGTTTAAAATCTTACTTACTCAAAATAAGAAAATTGGTTGAGTTTTTTTAGACTTTTCCTTATACAAAATGCTATTAGGGGGTGTTTGATTCGCAAAATGTTTTTGGATTGAATGAAATCCGTCAAAAGAATTTTACTTTGAAAGAACTGAAATGAAATGCAATCAAATTTGACCATCTTTTTGGTTGACATACATTGGAAATGAATCTCTTAAAGCAATTTGAATATGTCTGTTTGGTTTACATAATGCAGCTTTTAAAATATTGGTAAATGACTAAAATACCCTTTGAAAATTTTGAAATCAAACTCCAACTATTGTGGTCAAATCGGTGGTTCACATCGATGGTTTAGAACGACGGTTCAGGTCGGTGGTGGACGACGGTGGTTCAGAATAGGCGTTCATGTCGGTGATGGTTCAGGTCAACGGTGGTTCAAAACGGCGGTTCAGGTCGGTGGTGGTCGCGGTGGTTTAGAACGGCGGTTTAAGTCGGTTATGGTCGACAGTTGCTCAGAACAGCGGTTCAGGTCGGTGGCGGCGATAGGTAGTGGTATGGTGGGGGTTAGGAGTAGGGCATGACGAATAATAGTAACATGGTCATGGTGGATGGTAATGAAATTCAATTCCTTTTATTATGTCAAAGAATATTGAATTCATTAATTTATAAAATTCAATAAAATTAAAGAATTCCATCAATTTCAAAGAATAAACCAAACAAATGAATTTATCATTTCACTACTTTTCTTTTTCCCCTTTCCTAAAATTTTTGCCTTCTGACAAAAAAATAGAAAATAGAAAAAGAAAAGAAAAAGGGAAAACAATTCAGTTTTCGGCCAACAAACCCTAATCGAGAGATAAAATAACGAAGCGATGCTGCGAAATTAAACCTCTGGGTTGTGCCAAAATCTTTCGAGTTTGTGCGCGAAGTGGTGGGAAGAAAGATCTGCCGATTGTTGTAACTACTTCCTAAGGTGACCTCTTTCACTCTTTTTCCTGGGTTTCAATTTTCACTGACAATACTTGTTCTCGATCGCTGTTGGAATCAGCTATCCGTTTGAAGTATGTTCTTCAAGCTGCTCCTTATACTTCGATGTGTTTCTATGTTTAATTTCGAACATTAATACCTCGAATTTGATTTATCAATTTGGTTTTTATGTATGGGATTCGAGCTTCGTGGATTATTTCTCCAGGACCCGTATCGATGATTTTTGGTTTCTATGATTTCTTACCTTTTGAGTAATCATCAAGCTGATGAGTGTTTGATGTGATAATATTTTGCTGTTCTTTCTGTAATCTAGTAGTAAAGCTGAAAGCGGATTTGAGGATTTCTCTTCAAACGAGTAGTAGGTGTCTAATCTCTTTGGGGAAAATGATGTGTACCCCTATTATATTGTTTTATCAGAAGTTATTATACTGTCTATAAGCACATCTGCTTGTTTCCTCTTTCTATTTCTTATGTTTGATTACAATGGAATTTAAGATTTACATTATGAGTAGATAGGTTTTGAAAATGAATGGAACTTAAGGCTAGTATTGCAGGTAAATTAGGTTGAAGATGAGAATTTGTCACTGTGCTTTCCATCCTTGCCCATTTAGATTTAAAATAGATGGCTTTGTTTCTCGCCAGTAAACTAATTATGGTTTCTTGAATTGTTGATTGTGGTGTTACTTATTATTTTTCAAATATAATTCATCGTACACGAACTCTATAGAAACAAATCATTTTGCCTTTCCATGGAATAGGCGAGAATACAAGCCGGGTATGCACTCTCCCTCCATATTCTTTACCGAGTTTTCTGATTAAATGCTGCAGATTGATGATTCTAAGTCACCAATCAATGAGTCTGATCATTATATGCTTTCCGGTTGACATCTTGTTGATTTCATGGTGTATATGATCCTATGAGGGAATTTTACTAAATTTCTAGAGAATTTAGGGTTTTTAATTATTTTCTAGGAAGTTCTTGATTTTATGGTTGGATTTAATGATACAAAAACTATTGTGATTTTCAATTTCAGTTTCGATATGAAACCTTGAACTTTTGAGAATGGCTTTACTGACTATGTTAAACATCCTTTCAGTTACTGCAAATCAAAAGGATGTTGGTGTTGAGTTACTAAGAAAACTGCAGGAATTATGAATTTAGAAGTAATAAGCTTAATCTTGAAGCTTAAAACTTTTCAGAGAATTAGGGAGTATATATATTCTACGGGTGTTAGACAAAACCTCTGTACCGCTTAATTGAATCAACAAGTTCAATCTAGTTTTTTAGTGTCGGTTCGGTTTGCTATTTCTGATACCAAACTAGACGAGCCATTTTCCTTGTTCAGCTTCAACCTCACTAGTCTACAAATTACCTCCTTCAACCTGTCGCTTCAACTTCTCGCTGTTTCATGAGTTTTTACTTATCATTCAGCTTCAGCTATTTGGTTTTCTGCCTTTTAAAACTTCAATCTGTTTTGCTGTCCACTTATATTGAAGTTTTTGAAACCTAATCCCCAAATAATGATAAAAGGAGAGGTGCTTCTTGTAATTGCTTATCTTCACCACTTCACCATTGTCACTGACAGGTAGGTTCTGTTGTATCTAGACCATTATCCAAAGCAAGTCTTCTGTTAGACTCTTGATTTGTTACCTTGAATTGAGTTATGCAACCTCATGTTCAGTTCAATTATATTAAACAGTGTTGGCTGTTCTGTTTTATCACATTATTCACATCTAACTAATTAATTGAAGATTCCTTGATGGCTCAAAGTTCAAACACGGGAACTGACATTGACATGGTTTTGAGTCTCATTGCTTGTGTTGCTTAAATTCATTGCAAATGCTGGTAGCTATTTTGTGTGTTTCGGGCATCAAGGAGGTCAACTGTCAGTTAGGGCATCCCTTTTTTGACTCCTTTAAAGAAGCTGCACCTGAACTTTCCTCTATTCCGTTATTTTGAGTCATGCCAGTTAAGAAAGCGTAGCTCCACTTATCACCTAGAGTTAAATCATGTCGGTGCTTTATTTCAGTTAGTTCAGCATGACGTTTGAGTACCTTCTCCCATTGGGATGGTTTTGGGTTTTAAGTACTTCATTACATGTATGTATTGTTACTATTGTGCTGCTTTAGTTTCCTTGCTAGAATCAATGAGGGGAATCTTTCCTATTTTTATGTGTATATTGAAAATCAGTTTGATTTATATATTTAAACGTTTATGTAGTGATTACGCAAAGCAGTATTTTAACAAATGCTTTTCGCACTTTTCCACATAAGAATGAGGTGATACATGAATCCTCATGTGCCTACACACCACAATGGAATGGCATAGTTGAATGCAAACATCTCCATTTGTTGGATGTGGCCTGCACAATGATGATTCAACGTCATGTCTCTCATTTTTATGGGGGGATCATGCAATTTTGATAGTCAATTACCTTATAAATCTTATGCCCTCTATTGGGTAATCCTTTTCCCCCTCGATTCCATCCGTACCTATGTTTCTTATGCCTTAAATCTCTGGATATATCTGTTGTGTCTGGTCTTTGTTGTGGTGGAACTAAACTTATTACTTGATATTATTAATGTATGTTTAATAGTTATTCTCATGTCCAAAAAGGATATAGGTGTTAGTGTTATCATCCCACTTTCTGTAGGTAGTTTACTACAAATAATGTCATCTCTTGTGTGCCAAACTTTTCCAATGGCAGTCCCTCTTGTCAGGTCTCTTCTGAAAACAGACCTAATTTTTGAATTTTTTTTACTCTATGCTCTTTGGAGCAGTGACAGCCTGACAGGAACCTGTGACACATCCTGCCTTACCTCTGATCACTTAGTTTTTTTTTGCCAACAATGCAAAATTCACAACCCAGGTTTCCGTTAGTGCTTCTAGTATCTGCTCGAGTAGTCTGACAAGAGGTTTTTACAGTATTCTTATTCACATAGGTTTTTACCCAACAATACAAAATGCAGACAAGTTTATGAGACTCCTAGATCTGTCATCTTTGGTGCTTCTAGTATTGTCTCAAATAGTCTCTCAGAGTTTGGTTTAGCCATCTTTCTCATGTTCTTGAAGAATTTGGTTGTCCAGGAGTGAGAAGGACCACTGTGTTCTATAATTCTTGACAGGGAAAATGTATTTTCTTGGTGGTTTAAGTGGATGTCTTCTTGATGGGGATGACCGTGAGGGACTAAGAGCTCAAGAAGTTCACTGGGGATCAGGTGACAGATCGTGGATAACTTCAATATTTTTAGGGGTAGAGGTCTCATGATCTTAATAGGATTTGTTAGAGAAAGTATGCCCTAGTTCTTCCTAAATGTGGTTTTTTAAATTGGGGTGTGGGGTGGGGAGGGGGAACTATTGGATTCACCTTGTTGTAAACAGGAAAATATATGCTATATAGTGGCTAGCCTTTTATGATTCGAGAAATACAAGCTTTTAGTGGGGGAGCTTACCTATTTAATTTCTTACATAACTGGTTATCTTTTATTCTGTTATTTCAGTCATTTAGTTCATGTCATCTCTACGCGCTTTGCGTTGAGATGCGGTCTTTTTATTTTGAGATATCTAAAGGGCTCTCCAGGCAAATAAATATCGTATTTATATCAGGGGGCATCCTGGAGTTAGGGCATTTAGTGAGGAAGGTTGGACAAAATTGCTGGTTATATAGATGCTTAACGGTTAGGTGTCTAGTCATACGAGGTTGATGACCTGCTATTGTGTGTTGTTGAGGGCAAAACTTTAATGCTTGGGAGATCAAGAAGTTGCATGTTCTTTTACAATCCAATGTAGTGTCCTGGTGCAGGACTACTTTATGGGTCTTTCCATGGTAATAGTTTAATATGTTGCGAGATTTGTGAATATATGAAACTACAGACTGACAAAAGTTATCCATTCAGCATTCAATTATTTTTATATAATTAAATAATTTATGAATCAAGGGGTGTGATGTTTCTGGCACTGAATTACTTGTGTGACTTATCTATTTCTTAGACGTTAAGCTAGGAAAGCTTTCCACTTTTTTGTCTATTTGACTTTGCTACAAGCTGAATGTTGATACTATATTGTCTGACAGAATAAAGTTATAGTAACTAAGAAAGTTATGGTTATACATGCATTTTTGTCCGAATTTAGGAAATTGGAGATGTCTGCTGAAAATATTGCAGCAAATCTCTCTCTTTTTAGTATATACTTATGTATGTGTGCACTTTTGGTGTATCTTATGCAATTTATCTTGCAGTTCATCAAGTGCTACACAAAACCATGGCTGATGTTGATCTGAATATGGCTTTCAATTTGACGCCTTCTCTTCTAGAACAGCTTGGCAAGGCATTGGTTGAGCTAGAAGCTCATAAAGATGGTGCAGCAGATACGGTTTCATTCGCAGAAATAAGTGAGCACTTTCGTGACCTTGAGGCTAAGATGATGAAGAAATACTCTGAACTGGAAGATAGGGAGAAAGCTTTCAAACAAGAGGAATTAGATGGTCACTCGTTACTTGCAGAAAAAGAGGCAGCCGTTGCTGCAAAAGAGCAAGATATGTTTGACCGTATCCAAGTTCTTAAAGATGCTGCCGTGGCTGTCATTGCAGAGACACGGGCCAATCATCCTTCACCATCTTTTTACACCGATGATATTGCGGACGACACAGAGAACAAGGTAAGCTGCTCTCTTGATGAAACAAATGCATCCCTCACTGGCCCAAAAGGGGAATCCTCTGGAAAAACAGGTGGGAACAATGGAGGGGCTGGTGAGTCTGTTACGTTCCTTCAAGAGCTGACTCAATTTTGTGAGCAGATGGATTCGAAAGGGCTTCTGAGTTTTGTTATGGAGAATCGAAAAAATAGTACTGTTTTATGTGAGGAACTTAGTCATGCACTTAAAAGTTCCACAGAACCCGGTCGTTTAATTCTGGATTCACTGGACGGGTTCTACCCTCCTCCTGATGGCCAAGAAGATAATAAGGAGGATACTGCTGCCGCCCTTCAAGGGTTGCGGCAATCCTCTATTAATCTTATGGAAGCCTTGAACGCCATGTTGGCAAGGGCTGGTTTGGGTGCTGATCACCTACTGAACCATGAAATTAAGCAGCAAGCTAAAGCCATCGCTGATCAATGGAGGCCTAAGTTGGCTCATGATGCCACCATTGATGCTGCCAATGGAAAATCATTGGAAGCTGAGGCATTTTTGCAGCTCCTTGCGACTTTTAGGATTGCTTCAGAGTTTAATGAAGACGAACTCTGCAAGCTTGCTTTTGCAGTTTGTGAGCGAAGGCAAGCACCTGAGCTCTGCCGTTCTCTTGGTTTAGCACACAAAATGCCAGGTTGGTGTTCCTTTGATGGAGATATGGGCATTTTGCCCATTAAGGTTTAATCCCTTCGGTCAGTATTTTGTGTAGCTGAGTCTTATTTAAGTTATATTGGCATCGGGATGCTTTCATTGCATCTTTAGGTTTAGAAAGAAAGACCCGGACATATTTTTGTATGCATTACTGAATCTTGGTTTTTTTCCAGGTGTTATTGAAGAATTGATTAGCAATGGGAAACTAATCAGTGCGGTTCATTTTGTGCATGCCTTTGATCTTGCGGGCAGATTCCCGACTGTACCTCTTTTGAAGACTTATTTAAAGGATCTGAGGAGGAATTCACAAGGGAAACGTGGTCACCATTCGGAAAGTGCTCAGGTGCAATTTTGGTCTCGACTCTTATATGTTCGTCTTGATCTTATTTTTACTATCTCTGTTTCTAATCATATTTTGACATTTATTTCCTCTTAGCAACCAAATATTATGTTCTAGTTTCAAATCTTGGTGCTTCGACATGCTAATCTTTTATGGCTGAACTTCGGTTAAATTGGCGAATCATCGACTTTTTGCTTGGTTTTACACATTAAGATGAAGCCTTAGTATACAAGAACTCTTATTTTGCAAATCCAAACGATTTGCGGTCATTATGCACTCATAAATCAGCGTCATATCGTTTGTGTTGTTTTTTGTTTATGTAGAACGATGGAAACGCAAGAGAACTTGCTGGACTAAGAAATGTGGTGTACTGCGTTCAAAAGTACGATCTCGAGGCCGACTACCCACTTGAAGCCCTTCACAGAAGGCTTGGTCAGCTAGAAAGAGCAAATGTTGATAAAAAAAGATTTCGCGATTCACCTACTAAACCATCCCACGGTAAGAAACCACGTGCGAATGGAGGCGGAGGTGGAGGCGGAATCCAAGTTTATGGTTACCGCAGCCCTGCCGCTGCTCCCTTGGCGGTTAGTGGGCGGCAGCCTCCTGCTCAGGTCTACATGGATAGACCACACTATTCTGCCCCACCATCTTCCGAAAGGTATCCTCCTCATGCCGCCATGAACGATCCCTATAACTACCAACCACCTCCTCCTCCTGCCCAGCCAACATACAGTCAGCAGGTTTACGAACAAGGTGCGTATTACTATCAGCAAGATGACAGATCTGCCGCCGCCGCCGCTGCTGCTGCCGCCGCCGCCGCTGCAGCACCACCGCCTGCTTACGGTGGCTATGCCGGTAACAATGTACAACCTTCCTATCAACCATACATGTAAGCCATGAAAAGAATGATGGTTTTGGGTTTTTAGGACATCTTTGTCTTAGATTTTAATGGTAGCTACATTATACTACTATCCCATAACTATGAACCTTATAGATTGTTTAACCCTAGTTTTCTTTTCTTTTTCTTTTATTTTTTCTGCTCAATGGCTTGAAGTACATTATTTATGATTTTGATGTTTTGGGTACTTAGTGTTTCAGTTTCTTGTATTTGAACCTTCTTAAAAGAGTGAATTACCTTTTTCGTCTATGTGGTTTCGAAATTGTCGTTTTTGTTCACGTGGTTTGAAATTAATTGCTGTTTTCATCCTGGAGGATAATAAGTTCGGTTTAGCGTTAAGTATGAGGGATGAAAACAACAATGGATTATGAATTATAAACCAGAGGGACAAAAACATCAATGAATTGTAGACCATAGCGATAAAAACAATGAATTGTAAACTGCAAGGATACGAATGGTAATTAGGCACGAAAATAACAATTTTCATCTAACCACATTGACGAAAAAATGTAGTTTACTTTGTATGGAAATAATCTCTTTACTTTTAGGGTGGACCGGCAGATATAAGGTTTGTGTATAATTGTACGTCCTATTATGCACTATTCAAATATGTAATTCACCATTCTACACTTTATAACAAAAGAACAATGTGTGCAAGTCATGATAAAATGCCGGTTTTGACTGGTGGAACGATGAAATTCTCTGGCGGTTGCTTCTGCTTCTTGCTTCTCTGATCGCAAAGGTTTGCAAGTCACGAAGACGAGCAAGAAGAAGAAGCTACGAAGGCGGCGGTAGGTTGAAGAATAAAGGAACAAGAAGATGACAATGATGGTCCTCAAGTCTCGGAAGAACAGGGAGCTGATACCATGGTCAGATAATCCCAAGAAAGACGGAGAGACAAATAAAAGAAGTCGCTTTTTGGTATGCCAATCACACTTGTACTGTTGCATAAATTATATAAACCTGCACGCTAACATTTTTAATCAAAAGACCCAAAGATAAAAGTGCTCATCAATTAACGACATTTTTAACTAACAAAGTTACAGCAGGGACTATCTTGAAAGCAAAATGCGTACAATAGGGACTATTTATGTACCTTTTTTAAATAGATACCATTTTTGTATCTTTAACAAACTATAGGAACCATTTTTGTATTTTACTCTAAATAGAAAATTAAGAGCAAGTTATGTGTTTAGTCTCTATGGTTTATTAAATGAAGAGTAAAATAGTGTACTTTTGACAAACCATAGGGACTATTTTTGTAGTTTACTCTAAATAAAAGATGAAGAGTAAATTATGTTTTTAGTCCCTATGATTTAGTAAAAATTGTGACTTTCATTGTTGTGGTTTAAAATTATGGTTTTAAATTCATTGCTATGTTAGTCTTTGAGAGTAAGGGGCCGTTTAACTAACTCTTACATGGTAAGTGCTTACCGGTAAGATCCAACACTTTTTGTCAAAGATCTTTCCAGCCTAGTGGTAAAGGCTTGGGCATGACATAGTCATGAACCCGAGTTCGAGCCCTGGGAGGGGAGTGTTGGCGACATTTAAGTGGGGCCATGTTTAGCCTCCAAATTTGCCGGGGATTAGTCGGGCTTTGGCCCGGACACCCTTACAAACAAAAAAAAAAAGATCCAACACTTTCACTTAACTTACCGAGTATGATTTTAATCTACTAAAATGACATCGTATGCAACATTTTTATTTGATAACGTTTACCAAATAAGAATCATCAATCTCACTTATTGAAATAAGACTCTTTCGCTCTTACCGAGTAAAATTCTTAATCTTGTCACATTCATCCGATAAGGTAAATTGACCCTGTAAGAACTTACCGAATAAGCGCTTAGTAAACAACCCCTAACTCTTTATTTTTAAGTACAAGGGGTGAAAACAATAATAAATTGTAAACCTCAAAAATAAAAACAGTAAGAAATTGTAACCATAAAAACAAAATTAACAAGGAATTGTAAACTATAGGGATGAAAATCATAATTTCAAAAGTACAGGGACGAAAATATCAACTTTCAACAAACCAAAGGGACTAAGAACGTAATTTTACTCAAAAATTGAAATTGAAGAAAAGGATAGACGCAAACTAGAAGAAGGTCGTCGTCGTCGATCGTGTCGGGAACGTTGCTTACCGCTGACTTCGCCATATCCTTCCTCCTCCTTCCCCAGACACCCACCACTCTTCTTTCTTTCTCTCTCTCTCTCTCTAAAACTTTCTAGAGAGAGAAACCCTTCCTTTCATCCTCATACGTTACCCTCAATTTCACTCCCAATCGGTGATCGCCCAATTATGTCGCGATTCACCGTTCTCTTGATCTCGTCGATTCTTCTAGTGTTGTATCATCCACGGTATGTCTATCCTCTTAAAGATGATTCCACCACTATTATTCTCCGGCCTCCGCACGCCGGTAGCAATCGCCACACCATGTTTCTACCCCTTTTCCCATTTCCTCCCAACTCCTCCCGGATCTCCGGCGATGAGATATCTCGGCGTCACCTCCAGAAATCCGATACTCCTCGTCCAAATGCTCGTATGGCTCTCCATGATGATCTCCTTCTCAACGGGTAATTTTAGGAATTTCCCAGATCTATTTCACTGAAAAACAAACCTACCAACATCCCCAATTTCGAAAATTTACATTTGTTTCACGGCGTATTTCTAATTTTTAAAATTGGGACATGTAGTGAATTTGCATTTGTTTCTAGTTTGGAGATGAGTGTCCTGAAATTGAGATCTTTGAGGAATTGTATTGATGATTTGCAGGTATTACACTACGAGACTGTGGATAGGTTCTCCACCTCAGAGATTTGCACTCATTGTTGACACAGGGAGTACTGTTACATATGTTCCATGCTCTACCTGTGAACAGTGTGGCAAGCATCAAGTACTTTCCTTCTATATTGGCATTACAATTCATTTGGTCTACATGATGTTATAACTGCATTTGCTTATAGTTGGAATACAGTTAGTTTTCATAGTTTCAAAGTATGAACCTTTCTATCGAGTAAATGTTGCCAACATTTCAAGTTTTTGGTATAGATTGCTGATACCCGTAATTAGATGCTTTAATCACACATATATCCATTGTTTTAACATGAGATGGAGTTTGTTAAATATGTAAGTTTGCATGTTGTTAACTTGAGATTGAGTAGAGGATGATTTCTAGGCCAAATGTACTAACCAAGATTGCGTAACTTAAGGGGCTGCTTGGTTGGTTATCCATTAAGCCCTTTATGGATAAATCTGTGCGTGTTGGATTAATCTGTCCGTATAAATTGGGAAGGTTTTTGTTTTGGAGGGGGTGGGGTTCATAGATGGAATCATGGAAGGTGCATGTTTTTTTAATTGGGAGGGGCAGGTTATAAGAAAAACTTGGCTTTCTGCATAAGCTCACCCCTAGAAGCTTACTGAATAAGCCACTTTTATATCATTAAGCCACTATCAAACCATCATGTATAGCTGACCAAATAAGTTGCGAGTCCCATTAAGCTTCTAACAAACAGACCTTATAATCATCTAAGGAGTTATTGTTGTTGCTTCTAAATGCTTTATATGGTTTTCTTGTGGATAAAAACTTTTTATTACATGAACTACATAAGGGTTAACTGGTTTTTATCGATTCACTAGGATCCAAAGTTTGATCCGGAGTTATCGAGCACCTATAAGCCTGTTAAATGCAATATCGATTGCACCTGTGATAATAACAGGGAGCAATGTGTCTACGAAAGGCAATATGCTGAAATGAGTTCTAGCAGTGGTGCTCTTGGTGAGGATATTATATCTTTTGGCAACCAAAGTGATCTTCATCCTCAACGTGCGGTTTTTGGCTGTGAAAATGTGGAAACTGGTGATCTTTACAGTCAGCATGCGGACGGGATAATGGGTTTGGGCCGTGGTGATCTGAGTATAGTTGATCAACTTGTTGATGGTGGTGTTATAAGTGATTCTTTTTCTTTGTGCTATGGTGGAATGGATGTTGGTGGTGGGGCTATGGTTCTTGGTGGAATTTCTCCCCCTGCGGAGATGGTCTATTCCCATTCGGACCCTGTACGCAGGTATGTTTTGTATCTATCAAACTTATAGATACAAAACTTCAATGTTTTTTCTAACAAAAATACATTTGGTACATCTCACACATTTACTCTAGTCTCGGGATGGCAACAGCCCATATTACAATATTGAGTTGAAGGAGTTACATGTTGCTGGGAAGCGTTTGCCGTTAAATCCGAGTGTTTTCGATGGAAAGCATGGGACAGTCCTAGACAGTGGTACAACATATGCATACTTGCCTGAAGCAGCTTTTTTGGCATTTAAGCAAGCTGTAAGATTTTGTTCTTAGCCCTTTATGTTTATCTTTCCTCTAGCTGTTTATCATCAAGGAAGCTAAGCTAAGGTCAATCTTTAAGTATATCAAAGTTCTTGAATGTTAAGTTGACGCCTGATTAATGTTCAATATTTAAGTGAATAAATTATTCTTCAATTATTTCTCGTGTACTTATAAACCAGTGTTTTACTTGTTTGTTCATATGCATGTATAAATAATGGAATCGTATGTATCGGCTGTTTAGTGATCTCATTTGTTCCCCCCATACCAAGATAAATGATCGATAGGGCTTCTGGTTTTAACCAAAATATACCAGTCTAATGGGCTTTTAGAATGACATTTATCATCTTGTTTTTCTTGAAAAATCATGTATTTTTGTCACACCCCCCTCGCCCCCAAAAAAGAAAGAAAGATGGGTGATAGTTTTGACAAGCTATCAAAAGGGACGTATTGATTATCTGTCTTGCATGCAGATCATGAAAGAACTCCATGGCGTTCGTCAAATCAAAGGTCCTGATCCAAGTTATAATGACATTTGCTTCTCAGGTGCTGGAAGGTATCTTTTTTTTTTTTCTGTTCGTATGTACCAGTAATCCCGGAGATTAATTATTGTATACCAGTAGGTTTTTTTTGGGAAAGCTTTCTCCCTTTATTTTGCACACTTCGCACAAGCCAGGGGTCCTCAATGAAACAACCACTCTACTCTTCTGGATAGAGGTCAGGTCTGCTTACATCCCACCCCCAGACCCCACCTCAAGGTGGCCCACACTGAGCTCGTTTGGTTTGATTTGGTTGAGTAGAAATAATGTTGATCGTTGATCTGTTTCTTCAGTGATGTTTCACAACTTATGAAAACGTTCCCATCTGTTGATATGGTTTTTGGGAAGGGACAAAAGCTGTCATTGTCCCCGGAGAACTACTTGTTCAGGGTAAGCATTTAGTATCACTCCTTCATTAACATATACCAGGGTTTGAGATAGCTCTGAAACTGATTGCTATATATTTTTCTTTTTCTTATATGTGAAGCACTCGAGAGTTACTGGAGCATATTGTCTTGGGATTTTTCAGAACGGAAAGGATCCGACTACTCTTTTAGGAGGTGTTTCACACTTCACCCATTATATTGCTCATTATCGGCATTAAGTCCTCAATGCTGGTTTAGATTCATGTTTCTTGTTTCTTTTGTTTTCTGCTGTTTTAAAGTCTACTTATATCTGGTCTATTAATAATGTTTTAATATATGTATCGGCTACAGGCATCATTGTCCGCAATACGTTTGTTATGTATGACCGCGAACATGAAAAGATCGGATTTTGGAAAACTAACTGTTCTGATGTATGGGAAAGACTTCATATATCTGATACACCACCTCAAGGTTCTCCTCCATCAAATGGATCAGGTTCCGCTGCTGAAATCTCTCCTTCTTCATCTCCAATGAGTCCCCCACAGTATATTACACCAGGTAACATAAGCTATTGTCTAAGTAGAGTGACTGTTTTTATGAAGACCCCCGGCTTGTGCATAGTGAGGGAAAGTGAAAAAAGAACATAAAAAACGAACTTGAAAACAAGAAAGGCAGTGCTGCATATTATAAAAGAACTGTTCCCTTTTATTCATTTCTCCAAAATTTGGCAGACCTAAAATATGTAATCAAGAGAAGGTGATGAAAGTTATGTGGAGGTCCAAGTTAGTTTTTATAAACTTCTGCTAAACTTACAATCATATGATTCATTATGATGGTAATTCTTTCTTCTTCTTCTTTTCCTGCAGAAGAAATAGAAATCGGAAGTATTACATTTTCTATGTCATTAAGCCTTAATCGCACTAATTTGAAGTCCCAAATCTCAGAGCTTGCTCGTCTAATTGCTCAGGGGTTGCATGTTAACAGTTCACAGGTAGTTTCAACTTTCAAATTACAATAAGCCTATTCCATGTCTATTAAAGTGGTTTTGGTTTTTGATTTTGGATTATGATGGTGATATTATGCTTGCTGTAATGCTTTATTTTCTTGAAATTTCTCCTCCACGTTTAACTGCTTCTTACATAAATACAACCCTTTGGGGTAGAGATCAGGTTTGCTTACATCTTACTAGGGGCGGACCCACTATGGTGCATACTATATGGCAGAGGCTACCTTTTGGTCCTCCGTTGTAGTGTAAATTTTTTTAGAGTCGTGAAAGGTGCCACCGTATTATTTTCTTTGGTACAACCGTATATATCTTGAAACTACAATAATAACACAAATTTCCTTTGGCAGATTTGGTTTTTGCACGGTCCTTTTCTCCCCTTCCGTGCATGGGTTTGAATCCCATGTGTATCATTTTCTTAGTTTTTAGCTTTTAATTTTAGATTTATTATGTTTATGGAAAAAAAATTGTGATAAAAGACTCGAACACTGGACCTCTCATACGAAAAGCAAGGAACTAACTAAAAAACCAATAATGATTTTGTAAAAAATATCTATAGCTTCGTTTTTATAGTCAAATGGTGCCAACACTTGAAAAAATTCCTAGGTCCGCCTCTGCATCTTACCCTCCCCAAAACGCCAGCTCAGGTGGGATATATATCGGGTTTGTTTGGTTAATACATAAATATAACTATTCTTAAACATTCTTTTCAGGTTCACTTAACCAATTATACATCGAAAGGGAACGATTACCTTACAAGTTGGTCTATTTCTCCACCAAAATCCATTGACCATATGTCTAAAGAGACTGCATCAGTGAGTTCATGATATATCCAGTGGTTTATTTCCACAATCATAGTCACAGGCTTATTATTCGTTATATTTGGTGGCAGAGCATTATTTCTCGGATAGCTGAAGGTGGTGTACACCTTCCTGACTCCTATGGAAAATATCGGTTATACAATTGGGATATACAGCCCCCAACAAAAAGGTAAATTAATCCTTGACTTATCTTCTGTAGCTTTTCTTTTTTGGTTGAATGCTTAATGGGCCAAAAATAACACTTGAGTCATGCTTAATAGTTTTGGATTTCTGAGGCCATACGGGGTTGGACTATCTTGAATATACTAAGCCAGATATGGAAGCTAGGTGGTGTGAACCTTGAGGGCCAACTCAATTAGCATATAAAGGCTAGGCCTTGGGGCTCCTCCCCATAGGTAGCTGGTTCGAGTCTCCTTAGACTGTTCATTACTGATCTTGACCGACCGGGTTACATTAAAGATAAAAGAAAAAGAAAAAAAGGAAAAAGGGGAAATGGGTATAAATCATACAATCTAGTCGTCGGTGACCGACCTTGGGTTAATGAATAGTTTTTGACTTTTTTATGCCACGTGTCAACATATGATTGGTTGTTTTAATTTTGTTTTTTTGATAGAACTTATTTGGTTATAAATTAGACTTTGTTTTTATTAAAAAACAAAAAATTTACTAAAATTCGTAATGATGGTCTCATTCAACCTCATGCATACTAATTGTTTACTTAATTCAGATCTTCCATTGAATACCATGTCTCTTTGGCATTATGCAAATATAGCTTATTTTTTGAACTTATTGAAAAAATCCAATTTGATTTAGCTTTCTGAAACACTACTTTAAGTAGTGTTACAATAAGCTTGAGGGGCTTTTTTTCTTGTTCCAGTTTTGGCCTTTATATTCTACCAATTAATTTTTCAACATGCCCTTTTTAGTCATTTTACATTGTTATCTAGGTCATTCACAATGTATCTAGCTTATCAACTAGTTTTTACGGAGCATAACTAGTTTATCAGGAAACAATTAGCTTATCAACTAGTTTGCCAAACATAGCCTTAAAAACATTTCATTAATAGATCCTCCACTAGGGGGCCATAACCAAAATGCTTACAGAGTAGGCGTTTATCAGCAAGAGCCACGACACTCACTCACCTTGTCAGCTAACATTATCAGCCACTAAAATGGATTCTAAGGGTCTATCACCCAGTAAAATGCTTACTGGGTAAGAGTCACTGCCCTCACTTACCGGGGTAAGACTCTCGTTTATTGTCTGCCTCTTATCGGGTAAGATTCTTGGTCCTTGTTATCACAACTCGGTAAAATAAGTGAACCCGGTAAGCGTTTAGTAAACAGCTCCTAAATTTCTTTGTGAAAATGATATGCAGAAGCTGGTGGGAGAAAAATTACTTGCCGGCAGCATTGGTATCGGCTCTATCATTAGGAATTGGCTTATCAGCCGTTGGAACGTGGTGGTTTTTGAGACGGAGGCAACAATCTAGTTTGCAATATAAGCCCGTAGACTTGGATGTGCCTGAGCAAGAACTTCAGCCGCTGTGATTTTCCATAATCTCGTCTAGTCATGATATCTCAACAACCCCTTACGATGGATGGATGAATCTATACAACCGTGGCCGCCCCCTCCGAGGTGATGTAATTTTTGTCAGGTCAAAACACGAATCCGAATACCAAAATCTTTAATGCTTTGTTTATAAAGGAAAAAATTGACATCTTATAGTTGTGGTTATGAGACACATCTAAATTTGTATGTGTACAACATTATTAGGGTTCAAAAAACATCTGTTCTGATGTCAAAATTCACAGCCTTTTTCTTTGTTTTATGTTTTAACAGAATTCTCAGTTTATTCTTGTCTTTATAGATGTGGATTTAGGGTTTTTTTTTGTTGTGATTGTATATAATTGTTTTATCTGGTTTTTTAGTCTGACGAGTAAGAAGGTGGACACTTTTGCAGAATAAACAGATATGGGGTTTGATTCCGGTCCCCATATACCACCCACCTACCCTTGGGACCGGTGGCGGATCCAGGAAATTAATGGGGTGGGGGAACATCGGACGGGACTTGGTTAGAGAAGCATATGGTCATATGGGAATGGGACTGGGGGGAAACCATGTAAAACGAGAGTGAAAATAGAAAATTCAAACTAGATAACAAGGGTTCTTGGTCTTTGACCGGAGGCCTTTTTGCTTGGGACACACAATATCTATCCAACCTCGCCGTTAATATCTCAATCGACAAAAAAAACTTGATTTTTTATTAAAAATTTTAGTGGTTGTTTATTTACGATTTGATGAGATTAATGGTTTGGATGGTTTATATGTTTAGTCACATAAGTGCTTATTTATGGCTTAATTATTAAGTGATCAAGTCAAAATGACTATATGGAATAAACTAGCACCCGTCACTTGTCCTCATTGAAGTTACCTCTAAGTCTCAAATAAATTAATACCATATGAACAATCTGACTTGTTCAAACTCATCGTTATTTAAACAAACAATTTAACTTATACAGGATTTTATAGAATAAAATGTAAACGGCCACTCAGCCTTTAATGGCCCCCACAAGTTTGAAAATTGGCTTTCTAAAGCTCCAAATTGGTTTCCAAACATTCTCAAGTGTATTTGGTTGTCCAAAAACATACCTCAAATGCCAGCGAAATGATTCCATCCGCCCACAATTACTTTTTCAATCTTATAAATTTCTTAAATTGTACATAAAAGTAAATATGCCGACAGGGCGGGGATGGGACGAGTTTTATAATCCCTGGCCTCTGGCTCCGGCCCTGGTCCTTGGCAGGTATGGAGATTAATATCTCGTCCCCAGTTTATTTTCTAGTCAAATTCCGATCCTCGTCTCCGATCAAAACCTAATATTAGATTTTTCAACTTTCTTTTTTGTTTACTATTTATTAAAAATGTAATTAATATTTATGTGTTATTTGACAAATTGTTTAATAATTGAATAATTAAAATCTTGAAAAAGGGACAAAAAGATTGAAATTGGAAAGTCAACTAAGAACTCTCAACCTAAACACAAACCTCAATGTTGATTTGTATTTATCCACCGTTGAAATTCTTTAAATTAATTCAAAAATAAATATCGGGATTCGGATCATTTTCATAAACGATTACGGGTCATTTATGTTGCAAACTTCGTTATCGTGATCTTTACAGTTTGTTACATTTTATTAAAAAAATTACATTAAAAGGCGTTTGTGCAACGTACACTTTAACTAGACAACAATGTTATATACTGTGTTGGGAGTTAAGATGTACAAAAAATTCAAACCCGAAAAACCTAGACCTAATGAACATGAAGCCCGAGCAAGACGAAATTACGGGGTAGGCCGGAACCTGATGTAGAAAAAAGCCCGGTTAAGCCTGAAAAAAGGCGAGTCTAAAAAGCCCGATCAAACCCATTTTCAACCAAAAGCCTTTTTTTGGCTTACTGAAACGAACTTGAAAAATGAACATATTTTAGTTCAGTTCCTATTTTTGTGAACATTTTTTCAAAAGTCTCATTTGAAGGTTTATATCTTGAAAATGTTTATTTTCAATTGAGTTCACTTACAAACTTGATGTATTTTGAAAATATGTTTTTTTAGATTATAGACGTTTATATAATCTATACTATATTATAAAGCATTTGACAAACACTTTTAAAAACCATTTTTATGCATGAAGTACTGTTTATTGATGTATATTACTTAAAATTTAATATTACAAGTAAATTGTGCGTAAGTACAACTTATTAAATCTTTATGTTTGAATTCATGTAATTAATTACGAATAAAAATAATCAAATAGAGGATAAATATATCATTTCAAAATATAAAAAATCTAAAATATAATTAGAATAATTATTGAGTTATAATAAAAKAATTAACTAATATTTAAAAAAATATATTATTAACCAAATATGAATTACTTTGTTATTGAATCTAAATTAAATTATAATAAAAAACTGAACTAAAAAATTACACAAAAAAATAATAAATTTTAAATAGTTAATTTGATACTAATATCGGTATCTTTTTGTCAAATTTTTATGATATCTTCAAATTTATATTTTATTTAAAAATAAAATCATTATCGTCTTTTTAAAATCACATAAGACCATATTATAAGATCGAGTGAAATAAAAAATAAAATGAAATATTATAATCAAGATGTATCTCGCTGCATTGCACGAGTACCCTTCTAGTTATTTTTAAGCCATAAACACCTGAATGCGTTATACTAAATACTGTGTTTTATTGAAATACTATCTAAAGTAACTTTTCATAAACCATCTTAAAAAATAGTTTATAACTTACTTTTTTCAATGAACTGAAAAAATAAATTAACTTACAGTTGCCGAATATGAGCTGAAAGATCAAAATCATTATTAGTTTCATTTCAAATATTCTCAAGATAATTACTACATCTTTAAAAATGTGTTCAGATATGTGTTTAAAATTGATTTAGTTTTATGTCATATGGTTAGGCTCGGTTACAAACCTAACTTCCAGTGTAAACGGGGGGACAAACGAAAGTGCGACACTCATCCAGGACATTCACGAGATATTCATGGTGAATGGTGTGATGTTCATCTTGAATGTTGCAAAAAGAAATTACATTCAACCATAAGGGTGGTGTCTGATTGGTTTGAGTTTGGCTCCAAAGGTCAAAAGTACCAGGAGGTCTCAAGTTAAAATCTAAGGAGAAATAAAAATCCTCTTGTGGCTACGGATGTTCAAATGCGGTGGCTATCTGCAAAGCAGGTGGTCGCCCTGAGATTAGTCGACTCGCATAGCGGGTTGGATGTCCAGGTTAATTAAAAAAATCACATTCATTATTCATGATAAATAAAGATACTTATTGTGCATTCATTCATCCCTAGAATTGCAATAAATCAGGTTTGCAACTAAACTTTTCTCTGTATCATATTCATTTAATGAGTAAACTACAAATTTCAGCCTTAGGTTTGTTAAAAGTAACATGTTTTGTTCTTCCAGTTTTTAAAATTACAAGATGATTATCGTAATTTGCAAAAATGTTCGAATTTGGTCTCTTTTTCTAACATCCGTTAAATATTCCATTGAACGAAGAACATTTTTTAATCTTTTATTCAATCAAAAAAACCAAAGGGACCAAAATCATAGAATAGATTTTGATTAGGTAAAACACAATAAAATCGATAAAATAACGAAAATACTTCTTATTTAACAGAATCTTTTAACGACCATTAGAAAAAAGGTGATCAAATCCAGACATTTTTACAAACTACTATCCGAAACTGTAAAAACGAAAAATGTTATTTTGAACAAACCACATGAACCAAATTTACAGTCACTCATTAAATTATAATTATCCAATATCAAGTAAACATCTTTACAAATAGCTTTAATTATAATACTATTTATGATCATGTGAGACCAACTTGTTTTTATAAGACTCGTGAAATCATCTTTTTACATCTGAAACTTTAAATATAATATTATGAAGGTAACTTTCACAGTATTTTTAATATAAAGATAACATTCAGAGTATTTTTATTAAATTATAATTTTGTTTTTGACATCCTAAAAAGGAACAAATTGGGAGGCATAATAATAAATAAATATAATAAAGAAAATGAAAAAGCCAATGAGAAAGCGAGAACACAGAACAGAGCAGCTGCTCACAAATTCAAGAGGAATAAAATTCCCATAAAATACCTTGTGGTTTCTGAAGATCTTTACACCTCCTCGGCGAACTGTTCAACCAACTATCTTCCCGATCTTTCTGCCTGTTTCTTCAGGTGAATTCTTCTTCTTCTATGTTTTTAGGGTTTCATTATGTTACTGATTCATCCTACTTCCATCTTCATCGCCTCTTGGACTCATTCAACGCTTTCTTTAACGCGTTTTCACTTGAATTGAAGCCTATTATTGATTATTATACCTCAAGTACTTGTATGTTTGAATTCCGACATTACTGCTTTGAATTTTGTAAAGAGATCATAAACCTCTTCTCGATTGTTTGCCCGTGGTATGTGTAAATGATTCGTGGTTTTGATGACTAATTATCGATTGGTACTTGTTATTTTGATGTTGTGATTATTTGTTGCTTCTTTGTAAATTGTAATGTAGTGGTAAAACTGAAAGGGGAGTTTTCCCCAATTTGAGAGTTAATTATTTATTGAATACCAGATTGATTAGTTATGGAGAAAGATTCCATTTGCACCAGCTGTTAATGCCTTAGGAAGGGAACCTTGAAATTTGTTAAATCAGAATATTTCATCTCAGCCTTTACATGCGTATTTATGAAAAAAAGGTCTTAATATGAAGAGCTTAATGATTAGATCCACAATACTGATTGCTCCATATGCATACTTTTTTTGGGGTCACTCCTGTTATGAATTCGTCCCTTGTCGAGCTTTTATTGACTATTAGAACTTCCATTTATACTTTCATAGTAACCTCAAAACATAGACTGCCAACCATCATGCCATTTTTAGTCCCCTTCATTGATTTATGAGGACTTGATCAGTGAAGGCTTATTCTTTGGAGGAGGCTGTGAATTCAATTTTATAAAAGTCTTGAGAACAAATTTTAATTTTCAAAGTAGGCAAAGTTTTCCTGTTATCCTCTAAGTATCTATGCATCTTCATGCAAGATACATTTTTGTTGTAAGCACAAGGTTGAGTACTTGAATTGCTACATTACTTGGTTCTTTCCAGTATTTTGTACGCTCTTGTAGGATTGATATCATTTAGAGGCAGGGGGGATGGAGTGAGGGAATTATTTTTAGGCTCAAGAAGTGCTGTTGGTAGTTGGTAGCTTAATGATTGATGCAGGAAAGTTTAAGCAGAAAGTTTTTGGAGGAACAATGAGATGAACTATGTTTCTAGCGCTTCACACCGAAGAGGCACTAGGATATCTTGCATCACACCCAAGATAATAGAAGACATCTTCATCTAAGGGTCATTGTTTCACAGAATTAAAAACTTTATGAATCATGGTCAAACACCTACGTGGCGGTGATGACAGCTAGAGTTGGGTGATATTCATGATACTTTGATGATTAGGTTTTGCGATGAAGATGTGAATGTCTGGTTTTATGGTTATTTGATTGCTAGCTTATTGATATTCTTTCCATGATCTCTAGAGAACTAAGAAGCTGATAGGAACCATGATCTGAGGCCAAACAGTGAAATGAACTAGGTTGTTGGGGATTCATACCAAAGGAACACTAGGATATCTTGAGCATCACACCCAAGGTAATAAAAGCCATCTCACCTAAGGGTGATTGTTTGACACAATCAAAGGGAAAACTATTATAATTCAACCATCTAATAATTAATCATGAGGATTACATCTCTCTATAGATAATAAGACTAACAAAGTAACAATAAAGATAGATGTGTATCCTAAAGACAATCATCCATAAGATAAATGAGAATAATGATAAAGATAAATATCTAGAATGCTCCTAATAATTGTTGGATATATGTCAACAGTCATCCTAATTCCTAATACACATTTGCACACAACATCTTATTGCTCCTCTAATGTTAAGATCCTCTTGATGTTAGAATGTACTATCCATGGTTGTTATCGTCTCCTCTTGATGCCTCTATAATTTTTGAATCTACAGAGAGTGAGATACAACGGGACTTAAAGCGCTTGCAAGATCAGCCCTTTAACCAATTGGGTTCATTAAGGAAGAGGAGAAAGAATTTCCAACTCATACGATAAAGGTAAATATCAATTCAAGCATGGCATGGTCACTAGATTATGGACAATTTCCATTACCTTCTTTTATTCTTGTCAACAAGGTTCTACTGTTAAAAATCACTGCCTGCTTAATAATTTATCACTTTAAAATTTTATTGTGACATTTTTGTATTCCGTCATCTGAATCACTGTTTCACATGAAAAAAGTATATGTTCAACCTATAAAAAGAAGATCGTGTAGAGAGAGAATGTCATGTACAGCTGTGATGTTTATTTTTATTGTTTTTTCTGTACCTGCCTTTACAAATGAAAGGATATTTTCGAGTATTCAATGTAGGAGTTTCTGCAAGGTCCGAGGTAAACATGGACATTGTGACATTGATCTATGTGGTTTTTTTTTTGGTAAAACAAACACATGTTTGCCCATAACTGGTTTGGATACAGTACATATGAAGGAGCGCTAGCTGACACTTGACATTTGATTCAAGTCTGTATGTTTGTCCTCAATCAACCACCATCTTTTCTAACAGTAGTGGCACAATATGAAAATTGAAAATTGTAAACAGCTCATTTTTGGCCTCTTGAATCAAGTGAATGCACTGGGAGCTTCTTTTTATGGACATTCTTGTTTCAAGTTCTTGGATTTTTGTTATGAACTTACATATTTGAATATTTGATTAAGTAAGACCATATCAAGGAAATTTTTATGTCAATTCTGTAATGTAATTGTTAATTTTCCTTTGCAGGCAATCTGTAATGAGAGTTTGTATGCCAGACATCTGAGTAGTGATTTTAATCATATTCTACTGAAGGAACTTATTCATTTTCCTAGGGAGTCCAAAAAAATTTTGTTTATAGAGTTTGCCTTTTCTAAGGATGACCTATATGAGCAACATTTTGTCAAACAAGCAATCACAAGTTTCCAAATATAGGTTGTGATCTTTTTACATGGTTTTCAGTTTGTTCAATGGTTTTGTGGATTTTACAATTAGGGTGATTAGTATCTTGAACCATTTTGTAAACAACCAACATGCTAGCGAAGATGCTTACCAAGCATTCCGATTGACCGAACATAGGAAAAACAGACAGATTTTTAATGGATGTTAATTTCATTGACGGATTTTGGTTACGTGGCAGATGGCACCGAAAATCAATGGAATGATTATGTTTGCCAGCATACTTACCTAGAAGTACAATAGGACCCTTTTGGCATCATAGTGCCTAGTCACCATCTTTTATCCCAACTTCTTCCCATATGTGGTCATTTTTTCTCCTTCACTCAGGTTTTGTACTCCATTAACAAGCAAAGCAGAACTTAAATGAATCCTCTTGCATACTCGGTCATATTTTAGCTTGATCTTCAGATTGTTTTAAATTCCCATATTCTGATTTCTCTTTTGAAACCTTATTTTGTTCACTGTTCTTTTCCCAAATGACATTCCCACCTCTGAACTGTGTATCTTTTAGAATTTAAACAAGGGGCTTTTCTAAGACGGGAGTTTTTTTTTGTCATGCTTGAGTACTTCATCCATCGATCAAATACAAAGGAAGGTGCCTGATTAATGGAAACCTGGGTGGGGAAAACAAATACAGAGAAGTAATGGTTTGCTGACTGCTTTTTAACTAACCTCTAACATTGCCACAAGAGAGAGAGAGAGAGAGAAGCGAGAATGTGGGGTTGAAAAAACCTTTGTTTAGAGATTTGCTCTCTTTTTGTTTCTTGTTCTTAAATAAAGCTTCTTGCTGATAACTAATGATAAATTTATAAATGACCTATGGGTTTTGCTTATGATGAAGCTTTCTTCTTGCTCTAGGTTGGGGAAGAACTGGAACCAGATAAGAGGAAGAAGTGTTGTGGAGTCTAGTTAACATATTAAGGGTACTATTTTATATTCCGAGTCTTAAAAGTTGATTGTAGTTATTTCATGAACTATTTGGGCCACATACAAAATCTATATGTGAATATAATACTCATAAAAAATCCATTCATTTTGCTGCTTTTTTGCCAATGGGAATTCTTGTCTTCCCTTACCTTTTTTGTGCATTTGTGCAAGCATGTCCAATAAACTGACAAGTATAATGGTTTAGTTACTCCTTACATTTGGTCTAAAAATCTATATAGTAGAAATAAAAGAATTCATAGGGAAAACCCCAAACTCTTTTGCTTTCTTCAGGATTGAGATTGACACCCTCCATTCCCTTCTGTCAACAACAATTCTGTTCTCTTTAGTCAACAGCGCCTCTCTTCAATCAACAACACAACATTTCTTTCTCGTTGTTTTTGTGTCCTAGTGAAACCCCATGTTTTTCATTTTATTTTTTGCTTTAACGTTTAACTAGTGAACTACATGTTTGCTACTTGTGTCTGTGTGATGTTCACTTGACTCACTTCTGTTTGTTGACAGTTCTCTAAATAAATATTTTAGTGTATACCATACACGTTACGGTGAATATTATTTACTTTCACTTTTTAAATATATATATATATGTATATATATGTTAATTTTTTTGGTTTTGGAAAATGGTCGAGGCCATGCCAATTTTTATTGGTGACTCCAAGTTTTATACTCATCAACTTGCACTTATATCATAATTGTGCTCAGTTTTTAGAGGTTTGCATATCCCAAATTTTCTCATTTCAATTATCTGACTGATTCTTCTCTCTGGTGAATGTTCTATAGTTTTGTCACTATTTTGATTGCCATTTTACATATACACAACCTTATTCAGTATCTATTCATAGATGATGATTGGTCTGCTATTTGCAGGCGTGATGGAGATATCACTGCTGAAAATGCTTCTCAAAAATATATCTAGTTTCTTTCATCTGCCATGCCATGAACACAGAAACTCTGAAATTGTTGAAAAATACTACCATAAGATTGAAGAAATTCTGAAGTTAATCAAGCCAGTACTCGAGTCTATTGTTGATGCAGAAGTGGCTTCTGATGAATCACTACAGAAAGAATTTGCAGGCTTGAGTCAATCTGTTGATGAACTCCGGGAGCTTCTAGAAGATTGCCATCCGTTGATGAGTAAAGTTTACTTTGTATGTCTTTGTGACCAACAGTTCAAAGTTATAATTATTTGGAAAGCAGTAAGGATGAAATATGGATATTTGTTTGGTATCAAACTAGTGGATGTCACAATAAAAATATCTTTAATTAAAAATGGAAAAAAAGAAAACGTTACGCTAGGACCATGTTTGGCAACCATAAGCTAGCTTATTTTTTTGAGCTTATTGGAAAAGCCAGTTTGGTTAGAAGCAGGTTTTTTTTTCCAATTATGCCCTTTATTTTACCAATTAATATTTCAACATGTCCTTTTTGGTCATCTTACATTAGCATCTAGCTTATCAGCTAGTTTTTACCAAATATCACTAGTTCATTACCTTATTAGTTAACAGCTAGCTTATCAGCTAGTTTGACAAACATAGTCTAGATCATGATGATAGCTATATGGGTCATTTATCAAAATTGTGGAATTTATGACATACGTCTTGAGATAGATGTGCTTGTGTCCATTTTTATTTAAGAAGATAAATGGGGTTATACAGATGATAGTTCTATTTTCTTGTTTAGATGTAACCATGTTTAAACTTAAGTCTTATTAGCTCATTGTTGCTTTGTGTAGGTTATGCAAGTTGAAACATTGTTTGCAAAGGTTCGGGTTCAAAGCCTAGAACTTTTTGAGCTGCTGAAATCTTCTTCTAAAGGTCTTCCTGCTGAATTAAGTTCTGCATCACTTGAGGTACCTGAAAAAATGACTTGTAGTTCGATGATTTATATTGTTGAACTCATTACGGATTAATAATCTATCACCTCTTTTTAGTCTTGTGAACAACATATAGGTTCAAATGAGAACCGTAAATATTTTGAGAACCTGAGAACCAACTATTCATGATGAATATTGTGATAGAGAAAGGATCAGGCGGGAAGTTAAACATTTTGTGAGAAGGCGAGAAGTTTCAATATCATATATGGTTTCGCTCATTTGGGTGTGTTTAATCATATATGTTTAAGCTTGTGTATCATACGTGTAATCATAACGATATTGAAAGTTCACGCCTTCTCGCAAAATGTTTAGCTTCTCGTTTGAAACTGCCTCTATTGTGATATAATATATATATATATATATGTGTGTGTGTGTGTGTGTGTGTGTATATATATATTCATGATTAAAATTGTGATATATAATGAATATATCTTGAATAATGAAATGCATGATATTCATGAATTTTAGAAATCCTATTTATGATTTAAAAAAAATAGTGACATCTAGCAATACATCTTTGTTACCCAAAAGATAAAATTTGTTGACTCATCTAATCAGCAAACTTGTGATCATTATCATTATACACATTACGTCTTTTTGTTCTCGATGTCCATATTGAATATAGGACATGAAAGTGTCATCCCCGTTATTTTCAATCTCCAGTTTCTCGATTCTTAAGGTTATTTGTTGGTTCCTTGTTCTCAAAATATTTATGGTTCTCATTTGATTTTAACTTGGTTTTAGGCGTGCATAGTTTGTATTACATCTCCTTAGATTTTGTATACATCGTACATTTCATTGCAGCAATGCATACAGAAAATTAAGCATATGGGTTACGAAAAAGCGTCGGCTATTATTTCAAAAGCTATAAGGGATCAATCAGAGGGATCTGGACCTAACGCAGATAGCAGGTCAAAAATTGCCGATTTTCTTAGCTTGAGGTCAAATCAAGAACTTCTAATCGAGGCTGTTGCCCTCGAAAAGTTGAAGGAAAATGCCGAACAAGCCGAAAAGATTGTAGATTTAGAGTGTATCGAGGAAATGATTGCTCTTGTTACCCACATGAACGATTGCTTGATTGAGGCTAAACAATCGCAAAGCTGCAACCCTGTTCCAATACCTCCAGATTTCTGTTGCCCGCTATCACTTGAACTGATGACCGACCCTGTAATTGTAGCTTCTGGACAAACATATGAGCGGGCATATATCCATAATTGGATTGATCTTGGGCTTACCGTTTGCCCTAAGACAATGCAAACGCTCGGTCACACTAATCTTATTCCTAATTACACAGTAAAGGCACTGATTGCAAATTGGTGTGAATCCAACAACGTTAAGCTGCCAGACCTTGCAAAGATCACGAGCTTGAACAAACCCAGTTCGCCCAGATCGACATGGACTGTGGGTTCACCGAAGAACTTAATTGTGTCTAGTGCGACCAATCAGGAAGAAGCTTCTATGGTGCATCATGTCCATTCATCTTCAGAGGATTCCATAACTGGAAATAGGCATGAGTTGAACAATAAGAATGACAATTTGGCTGAATCTGAGGAGAGAAGTTTGGATTCAGGTGGACCTTCAGCCAGTGGTGGAGTGGGTGAAGGGTCACTGGAGGGCCATAAGAGGAGTACTTCAACTTCCGGCTCACCTATCAGTAGACACTTTTCTCAAGAGATCACTCATGATGCAAATGAGGAATCTTCGCCAGATTCAGCAGCAGCAAACAACGGTGATGCTTCAGGGGAGGTGGCGGCAGAGCCTCAGCCCGCCATTACTACCGCCATTCCTCCACAAAGGGAGCATGAATATTCACCTCGACTCGGACATAGATCACGAAATCAAATATGGCGCAGACCATCTGAAAGATTTGGACCAAGAGTAGTTTCTTCTTCAGCTACTGAAACGAGACCCGATCTCAGTGGAGTTGAAACCCAAGTCAAAAAGTTGGTTGAGGATTTAAGTAGCACTTCACTTGATGCAGTAAAGGATGCTACCGGTGAACTCAGATTACTTGCGCGCCATAATAACGATAATCGAGTTGTCATAGCCAACTGTGGTGCCATCACCTTATTAATAAGCCTGCTCCGTTCAGCTGACCAAAAAGTCCAAGCAAATGCAGTGACTGCACTTCTGAACTTATCGATAAACGATAACAACAAAACCGCCATTGCAAATGCTGATGCAATCGAACCTCTGATTCATGTTCTGGAAACGGGGAGCTCCGAGGCAAAAGAAAACTCCGCTGCAACTCTTTTTAGTCTCTCGGTTATCGAAGATAACAAGATACGGATTGGCAGGTCGGGCGCGATCCGGCCCCTGGTCGATTTATTGGGAAACGGAACTCCAAGGGGGAAAAAGGATGCAGCCACAGCTTTATTCAACTTGTCAATATTTCACGAAAATAAGGCCCGGATTGTGCAGGCTGGTGCCGTGAGGTATCTTGTGGAATTGATGGATCCTGCGGCTGGGATGGTTGATAAGGCGGTCGCAGTTTTGTCGAATCTTGCAACGATTCCCGAGGGTAGAGCAGCTATTGGTCAGGAGGGCGGCATACCGGTGCTGGTTGAAGTGGTCGAGTTGGGTTCGGCTCGAGGGAAGGAAAACGCTGCTGCCGCCCTCCTACAGCTCTGTACCAACAGCAGCCGGTTTTGCAACATGGTCCTTCAGGAAGGCGCGGTTCCACCATTGGTCGCTTTGTCTCAGTCCGGTACCCCAAGAGCGAAGGAAAAGGTGCTTCTTTTTCTCCCATTAGTGTAACATGGTTTCAAAATTTCCTATTTTGTACTCATTTTGAACCTATTGTTCTTTGTAACATTTGATGACGTGGATGTCAAGTTTAGTGTCCCTTTTGTTGTAAACCTTCCTTAAATGGATATCCACGTCATCAAATGTTACATGAGTAGTGGGTTATTGGTAAAAATAGGTACAAACTAGAACATTTTGAAATAGACGAACTTTGGATTAATCTTGATTAGAGATCGACAACGGGGTCAAGGGGTATCGGGATCATAATTCCCATCCCCATCCCCATCGGGAATAAGATTTTATCCCATTCCCATCGGGGATTTTTCCCTGTCTATACAATTTAATTTTTACGTAATGTTTTTATAAATTATGTATATAAATGCCAATCTTACGTTTAAACAACATATAATGTATTAATTACCGAAATTTTAGTTATTACATTTGTATAAGGTTAGCATAAAAACGTAGTTCAAACACAAACATATCAATTACAAAACTTAATAATTGAAGTTTTATATAATCACGTCGTTATATCAACAAAAGTTTCCGATTAACAACCTAATCAATAATGTAACTCTTTTACAAGTTTTCATAATGGAAGATTGATTATATTTATACATTATATATACTCATTGGGTTTCTCACTATATTATTATACTTAGTGTGTGTGTGTATATGGAGTTGGGTTCTGGGGAAAACCGCAAAAATTGAAAAACTGAGGAACACCCTAGTAACCCGTTCATCTGTACGGTATGCACATGTGCATACAAGTAATTTTAAGTACTTTTTCCGGTATGCACATGTGCATAACATGTACACGTACATAGAAACTAGGAAACATCTTTAGTTACTTGTATGCACATATGCATAACATCCAGATGAACGATATTAAGGTGTTCCTCAATTTTTCATTTTTCTGTGGGTTCTCCATAAACCTCCCTCTATATGTATACACACATAGAAATGTATAATTAATACTTGGGTAGAGGATGAAGGCCTATCCCATCCCCGGTCAACTCGAGATTCCCTTGGCAAACCGGGTTGGATGTCGCGTTTTCCTTCGAATGCGGGGTTTTTATTTACTTTTTATTTTATTATAATGCATTTTTTTTACTGTTGGGTGAATATGGTTTTATTTGGTTGTGTTGCAGGCTCAGTCACTGCTAAGCTACTTTAGAAACCAGCGCCATGGGAACGGTGGGAGATGATTGATGGTTTTGAGGTAMGATTTGTATACGATGTATGTATATCTTAATGTTGCAAATAATAATAATAATAATATTGCATTATTGTTATTATTATTTATTATTATGATTCTCTTAAAAAGAAGAAAAATAGAAACCAAAAAAACGACGTAGTTTTTGTACTTTTGGGAAGTTCATACCTTTGTGCTTAAATTTAGTGTGAGTTTGTTTTTGTTGCCTTATAATCTTCGATATGTTTTTCATTCTCATTTGTACTTTGTGGTATACGATGGACAATAAAGCGTAAAAGCTTGTTGTCTCACGTCTGATGCGACATTTAACTAGGACAAAACGAGACTTTAATGAGACAGAAATGCAGTTTTCTTGTCCAGTTCAGTTTGTGTATCAAACGCAGTGTAAGCGTTTGTTGGAGTCGTGTGCAGGTAGCATGTGCACTTGGCTTCGTCTGACCCCGGGACCGGTCCCACGCATTTGCATTGCACACGGTACGGCTTGCACAACACATCATGCTTTCTAGCCCACCACTACCAACAACCACTATGTCCAGCCCGGGTGTAATAAAGAGGGTTAGCAGGTGGAGTCGTCTTTTTCAAGTTTTATAGTCGGTAAAATTGCTTGAATTTTTTTAAAGATACGATTATAAATCAAATGATTCCCGTCTTTCAAACAAGACCACTATACCCTTGTATTACGGCTTGATTTTATTATATTTCAGGTGTAGAAGCGAGATATAACATAATTAAGTTAATTTACGTTTGAAAAAAGTAATTTTGAGTATCTAACAACCAAAATTTTCATATTTTTAATGTTAAACAAAAAGATTCGCAAATAAAAATGTTGGAATTATGGTTTTATCGTAACTCAGTTATTATAATTGCGAAAACACAAAAAAGAACGTTATAATGTGAAAATTCCAACCATTTGAATTGTGGGGGTACTGGTTAATTCTTAGAAAATCGAATTCAAACACTGGAATTTGGTTGGAAATTCGAATTCAAACACTGGAATTTGGTTGGAATTATTTATTTTGACATATGATGTATTTATTATGTCTATTATGTACAAATGGTTATATTCAATGAACTTGTTCGTATTTAACATAACACGAGAATATAAAGATATTTGTTATTTTATGCAATTTAATGAAGTCGTTGTTTGGTAGTGTTTCTTGTACGTTGTTGAAATTATTGTACATTTTTCAAAGGGGATATATATATAGGAGCGTTCAAATACAAAGTGTCTCAATTTATACAAATCATACAAACCAATCACATAAATTCATTTATTTTTCTTTATTTTTAATTTATAAGGGTATTATGGTCTTTTGAGATTACAATAGTTATGTTTGGTAAATATTTAATACTAATAGATAAGTTTGGTAATTTTTTAATTTTATATAAATATGGATTATAGCTTAGATTAGCTAGCACCTTTTTAGTAAATATTTAATTGATTTATCCATTAAATATGTTGATACAAATTGTTATCTTTGAAAAATATACAATAATTGTTGATTAAAAAATATTTTTATGTTTCATCATTTATTAAAATATCCTTCCTTTTATAGTTTCTAGGTAACTCTATTTCGTCATTAACAGTTTCATCATTAACAATTTCATTTTGTTTCATCATTAACAGTTTCATTCTGTCCAATGCCACAGTTTCATTATGTTTAATCATTAACAGTTTTATTCTGTTTCATTTTGTCCAATGCCACAGTTTCATTTTGTTTTATCATTAACAAATTCATTTTGTTTCATCATTAACACTTCCAAATAACATATTGTCCCATCATTAACAGTTTCATAGTGTCCAATGGAACATGTTCATGGGATTGAATGCGAGAAAAGGGATTTCAATGATCGCAACAGTTTACAATTTGTTCTCGTTTTGCCCTTTCTTGTTGAAAATAATATTAATTCATTTTCTTTTATTTTTTTACTTATTAAAATAACTTGTTTTAATCGTGACATTTAATCATGAAAATTGATGGATGTAATTGGTTTGTAAGGTTTGTATAAAAAACATGTTTTACAAAATAAACCTCCTATACATATACGTATACTATATATATATAGAGGGTATATGTATATGTATATGTATATAAGGGAAACTTTGGGGTATTGAGGTGATACCATAAAAAATGAGTGTTTTTAAATGAGGAATTGTGGTTAGTTTTAGTTGTTCTACATTGGTGAAGAGTTTAAAGATTTAAACAAGGTGAATGTCAATTCATGAGATTTGCCTCATAAGGTTATCATATTTTGGATGAACTTTTTTGAAATCTATAACCATAATTGGAATCAAAACCAACCAAATGGTAAAAATTATAGTGCAAAATTAAAAGTGAAACCAAGAATGATGACTTGGCAACATGAGGTTTGACTCTTTATCAAATCTTGAGATAAGGTTGAATTTCATCATCTCACATTAGTGGAAAGATGATGGTTTGGAAGAAGATGATAGATGTATAAAAGCGTAATGAATGTTTTGAAATCTATAATCATGGTTGAAATCAAAGCCAACCAATTGGTAAAATTATAGTGCAAAATGAATGCAAATGATACATTTTCTTTCTTAAAAAGAGTCGTGATAAATGCATGACTTATAATAACAAATGTAGTATAAGCATCTACCATATCACTTATATATACATAAAATGAAAGTATTGACTCAATGACGTGCTTTTATTTGATTTTTGTGTTCTCTAAATCATGACTTACGATGTTGGACGTGGTGTTGTAAATATAGATATTTATACAATCCCGAGTTTCCAAACACATCGCACTTCCGCTCGGGTCGAGTCTTTTACATTATCTCTTAAATTGAGTTTTGATCATTGCACGACGCACGATGTTCAAAGTTGTTAAGGTATATTAATATATATTAACGTTGAATATTTCATGTACGTTCACGTATTGCATGTATGTTTACGTTAACCTCCTTTTCCTACCTAGACGCTAGATCATCGCCATCAATTCATCAAAGTCCCGATTTACGACAAAAACGCTACTGCACCCATCCAAACCGTCGGATGAAGCACACAATCTCATCCAAGGGTGATCAAGAGGTCCTACCCGTGACGGATCCAGGATTTTTAATACATCTGAAGACATTTTCCCCTTCAAACTTTACTCGAACAATGTTCTTTAAATATAATTTCCTTATAGAAAACAAATCAAACGACATCACATGTGAATCTGAATGCAAGATTTCTCGAAGACAAACACCATAACGTCCCACTTACCGATCATTTTAAGGGTACGGAATTCTTGGTTCGAGATTTTTATTCGCATAAAATCCGTAACCGAAAACCATATAATAAAAAATAAAAAGCGAGTCATGAAAAATTCAAGGGCACTTGTCTCTGCCCTTTGGGTTCTTCATATCACGATAGCACGGACATTGTGCCTTACTTGCGTACGGACCCGACGGAACGCAACCATTGCATTTTCCGCAGCAGATCCCGCAATATTTCAGACATCGATCTTTCCATCCCGATCTGGAACACCTCACCTCGCATTTGTTATCGCATCCAAATCCACCTGCAAATTGCAAATCAATGCATTCATCAATCACGGTTTCGAATTCGTAATCGTTAAAAATTGCAGATCAGAAATTAGTGAATGAAGATGAGATGTATATATACTTGGAGCGGCGGATGGAGAAATTGCGATGGCGGAGGTGAAGAGAAGAGCGATGATGATAACGACTGTAAATGGAGAAAGCTTCATGATGTTCAACAATGGAGTCTGGAAGAAGATGTTTGATGATGATGATGATGAAGAAGAGTATTTATAGTGGGAGTAGCAGAGTCGGCATGTGGTGTGAGCCCCTTGGAAACTGTTGCATATCAATTTCAATTGCCTCCATTTTTATCATCTAATTACATGTTATCTCATCTAAAAAATTATCATGTTATGATTCAGAGAATCAGATCTATATTCAAAGGAAAAATAAATTGATATGATAAGGATCAAGAATCTTACTTGGTAAGAGCGAGGCAAGGGTCAAGAGTCTTATCCGATAAGTGCGAGCGACGACTGTTACCACGGTCAGTGCTTACCGGGTAAATTGTTGCATACGATGTCGTTTTGGTGGACTAAAATCTTACCTGGTAAATAAATAATAGTGTTAAATTTTACCGCTAAACACTTACCGGGTAAGTGTTTGGTAAACGGCTCATTATATTTTTTTTTGGGTGTAACGGTGTTTAATTCTTTATATTTGTATTATTCTACATAATAGACGGATTTTCAACTTTCGTGCAAGGATCTAAATGATGTGAGACGTGGCGTGGCGTGATGACGAGACCAAAACCTCAAGCCTTAGGAGCCACAACGAGGCTACGAGGTTTTTCAATGCGTGACTGTGACGGTAAATCTCTAAATCATATATAATATTGCATACAAAAACATTTGTTTTGTACTATTACTTAATGAGTCAATGATAATAAACAACTTAAATTAAGTTCTATATTAAAAACTAGCAAATAAGACATTGAAAACGAAAAGAATAGTTAAATATCATGTTGCAAAAATTGCACATTAGGTCATGGTGTGGCATAAACTTAACATGACGTAAGACACAAGTCTTGAGCCATGACGCACAATAACGGTTGTTGTGACGAGTCTTTTAGAATGGTGCTTCCTTGAACAACTATACACACACACACTCACACACTAAAGGAACGACTACTGTGTAATGTGGTGGGATCATGAGAATGAAATATTTCTTAATTATTGAATCATCGTGAGTTTGGTTATCGTGCATTGGTAAGATAATGAAAAACTGTATGAAAATGCGAGTATATATTGATAAGAGGAAAAAATCCCTTTGTAGCAGCTCATATTAGCATACCCGTTTTCAGAGGGAAAAATGAAATATACGAGTATATATACTGACAAGAGGAGATGATGCTTTTGTGGTACTGTTATGGTGGCTAATTTTAGCCTACTATTTTTTTGGAAGAAAAAAAAATCTTTTAACTACAAGGGTGGTATCTAATTGGTTTGAGTTTGAGCTCCAAAAGTCAAAAGTGTTTAAAGGTCCCAATTTCAAATCCCACGAGAAATAAAAGTCCTCTTGTGACTACGAAGGTTCAAATATAGTGACTTTGGGCTACCCGCAAAGCAGGTGGTCACCCTGGTATTAGTCGACTCACATAGCGGGTTTGATATCCAGGTTAATTATTTTTGAACTAGAAATAGTTATTAGTGTATATTACGTTTTTAGTCTCGCTAGTTATTTTTGAACTAAAAACTAGAAAAATAGTAATTAGACTAAATTACGTTTTTAGTCTCTTTAGTTTGTTGAATTTTTTTACTTTCATCCGGTTTTAAAGTTACAATTTTTTTCTCTAAATTTTATAATTAATTATTTTTTGTTTTTACAAATTCTGTTTCAATACTTCATACTTAAAAATAGTGTTTTTTTTTCAGGAACAAAAACTGAAATAAATTATAAATCATAAGATCGAAAATCAAAGTTTTGAACCACATAAACAAAATCAAATTTTGTTAACAAATCATAGGAACGAAAAAACGTAATTTATTTTAATAATAATAATTAATTGTTAAAAAGAAGAAATTGATCCCAGTCCCCACGGACGGGTACAAGTTTCAAAGTAGTTGTGAAAACCTGACGTCGGAGTAGGTGAAGACAGCTGGCTTTACAGCTTGGATCCTGTACTCCTTTCCATTTCCATTTACTGCTGCCTTTTTTTTAATTAAATAGCATTTTAAAGTATCTATATTATATTATAAAGTAATTGATAAAAAAAATTAAAAATTATTTTTTATGCATAAAATACTGTTTGTTGATGTATATTACTTAAAATTCAAGATTACAAGTAAATTATGCATAAATAAAACTTATTAAAGCTCGATATTTGAATTCGTATAACAAACTGTGGATAAACATAATCAAATAAAGGATAAACATTTCATTTTAAAATATAAAAAATCTAAAATTTAATTAAGATAATTATGGAGTTCTAACAAAATAATTAATTATTATATTTATAAGAAATTGTATTATTAAACCAAATATAAATTACTTCATTATTGAATCTAAATTAAATTATAATAAAAAATAAATTAAAAAATAACACAAAAAATGAGAAGTTTTAAATAATTAATTTGATATTAATATCGATTTATTTTTGTCAAATTTTTATATATTTTAAAATTTTATATTTTATTCAAAAATAAAAACGTCATCGATTTCTCAAAATCACATAAGACCATATAATAACAACGACTAAGATAAAGAATAAAATGAAATATTAAAATCAAGATGTATCTCGATGCATTGCGCGAGTACCATTCTAATCTAATAAAAAGTTAAAAATATATTTTTTAAATTACCTTTATTTTTAGAGATTACATAATTAACGACATTGTTCAATTATTCAGTACAACTTATAAAAATATTATTTTGAGAAATCTTTAAATCTGAAGAATTTCATCTTCTCTTTCATACTTTTTCTATTTTGGAAAAAAAATTAGAGAATTTGTTGGAGCAAAAATTCTCAAAATTTTCATTTTAAGCCATCCTCAACTCATCAATAAAACATAAAAATTGAGGTATTTTCATTTTCAACCCACCACTAAAACACTAAAAATATAGAGGTCAACAAAGTTGCTTTCTATATTTAAAGGTCAATAATGTTGGTTTATATAAATCAAATATTAATATAATATTATTATTTTTAATAATTTTATACATAATATTAACTTTTTATGAATAAACAAATATATTATTTTATTCTTATTATAATAATAATAATATTAAAGATGTTTTTAATGTTTTTTTAGTATCCGGTAAAAATTAATTTTTCTAATATTCAATAAACAATGGACCCACCATTTATAATAAAGTAGTTTATAAGAATTATAATTACAAAGAGTATTTATAAGAAGATTTAGGGGCGGATGTAATGGCAAAAGGAAGGGGGAAGGGATCTCAATTAAAAAAAATTCATAGGTTAAAATTTAAGTTTTACATGATTTACCTTTCACTTCCTTCCATTACATTTTTTCACGGGCCCTCAACTCCAATCGAAACCGTTACTCTAACCACAAAAATCTGTTGAAATCAATCAAAAAAACCAAAAAAAAATTATTCGAAATCGACAAAAAACACAAAATAATCTCTCGAAATCAACCAAAAAACTTTAAAATTCCCTTGAAAACGTTGCAATTAGATTAAAAACACATCGGACGATTTTGCAAATCTCAAAGTCTACCTTAAAGATGACCCCACAAAACAAAAATCTTGGATCCGCCATTAAGAAGATGACTTCCATTTTAAGTTGTACTTATGCATTATTATTTATAATCTTGAATTTAAAGTAATATACATCAATAAACCATACTTTATATAAAAAGAGTTTTTAAGAGTTTTTTTTTGTTAAATATTATATAATATGGTATAGATATTGCATGTGCAAGTCCAACCAAAATGGTTGTGGGTCACTATTTTATTTGACGGTGGAGGTGTGAATAGAAGGACCCATTTGGGGATGTCCACCCACCAACCCACAACAACAACCTTCTATGCAATTTCCTACTCATTATTTTTCTATCTTTTTTTTATTTTAGAATGAGTCAAAATAGGTTATGTCCAATTAAATTTATTTCATTAATATTTTTTAATTCTATAAACAATTAATGTATTTGGTATCCTTACAAAAAGTACTATATTCCCAAGGACAAATATTTTTTTTTAAAGGAAAAAATCATGATATTTTGTTCATCTATAATATATTATAAAGTATTTGACAAAAATTCTTAAAACGGGTGTTGGCGTGAGGAACCAACTTCGACTAAAAACGCTGCTTTCGAGTATTTTAAATCACGGTCTCATGAGCAAAATACCTTGAGACCAAAGATTCGAAGTTATAAGTATTTTTGAATCCTACTTTACTGAATTAGAGGTTTGGAACGTGATAAATTGTGGAAGTTCTAAATCCTCTGGACCTGATACGGAGTGCCCCTGGGCTCAAGTCCTATCTTTAAACCACGTTGACGTAGCGACGCCTATATCAAAAGAATATACGAGCGAGGAAGTTTATAAATCGTTTTGGCTTTAACTTCATGTTCATTAAGAAAATTTGGGAATCACACACCGGAATGTTTTGAATGAGTTTTGAGAAAAGGAGGAAATCAACAGAGGCTGGAATTCCTCTTTTATAGCTCTCATCCCAAAATCTTTATGGTATCTTTTGTCCATCAAGAAATCTCATTTGCATCATAATGTCCAACAAGAAATCCCAATTACCACAATCAATTTCTTTAAAAGTAAGCTTTATGGTATCGGTATGGGTGACTTCCCTTCTCCTACCTTGGACTGCCTATCAGAAAAAGTATGAACAAATTGGAGAGTTGGACTCCAATTATTGAAAAATTCATAAATAAGCTCCCTTTGTTGAGATCTAGATCGATATCTTTTGGAGGTAGATTAACCTTGATTAAATCACTGCTTGGCAATCTGTCTTTGTACCTCTTCTCTTTGTTTCATTCCCCGACCCAGGTGCTATAGATTCTTGAGAGTGTTATGAGAGATTTTTTCTAGGGAGGTGGGTGTGAGGGCTCTAGAAAGTAGGCTTGGGTTATGTGGGATTCGGTTCTTTGCAGCTTCGACTTTGGAGGGCTAAACGTGGGAAGCCTTCAGGCCTCAAACTGGGGACTTTAGGGGAAAAGGGTTCACTTTGGGCTAGGGTTATTCGTAGTATTTATTGTAAGGATGTGGTATCAGTGGCTTGGTTGGTTCAAGAGGGGGTCTTAGGGGATTGTAGGGGAATATTA